CGCGTAAGGGAGCCATTCGTCCCAATCAGTTTGATCTTCGTTAATATAATGCCTCAAGTATTCGGCTAGAGTACGGTGCGATCTTTCCAATGCCCCGTTACTCTCAGGGTGATACGCCGTTGTTTGTATCTTCTCAATTTTCAATAGTTTGCACGTGTTCTTGAATATTTCGCTCGTAAAGTTCGTGCCCTGATCCGTGAGAATTTTCTCCGGAATTCCGTGTTCTAACACAATTTTTGTTACGAATTCTTTGGCGATGGTCCTGGCTTCCTGATTTTCAATCGGTATCGCCTTACTAAATTTTGTTAAATTATCCTGAAACGTCAGAATGTATTTGTTTCCTTGATTTGTAATTGTTAACGGACCGACGATGTCGAGAGCGCATTTTTCAAATGGTCGTTCTGGCGTGTCCGTGATGACCATTGGCATCTTTGTTTTTCTGCTTAGTTTATTCTTCTGGCAGTATTCGCATCTGCCGATGTAAGTCTCGACATCTTTTGTTATACCTTTCCAATCGTGTTGCAATCGGATTCGGTCTAAAGTGCGTGTGACTCCTTGGTGCCCTCCGATAGGCGAGTCGTGATACTCGTATAGTATCTGTTTCTTTTCCTTCTCCGAGTATTCTCGGGGCGCATCTTCTTCTTCTTGCTGTATCGTATGCACAGCTGACGCCTCTGTTATCGGGTTACGGCTCAATGCGTCGGCGTTTAGGTTGCTCTTCCCTGCCTTGTGTATGATTTCGTAATCATACTCCTCTAATTTAAGCCTCCATCTAATTAATCTTGAACCGGGGTCGGTAACATTGAACAGCCAGATCAATGGCTTATGATCAGTTATTATTTTGAATCTGACGCCATAAAGATAGGGTCGAAAATGCTTGACTGCCCATACGATGGCTAGCAGTTCTTTTTCCGTTGTGTTGTAATTCTGTTCCGCTTTACATAGTACGCGGCTAGCGTACGCTATCGGTCGGTCTTGGCCGACTACTCCCTGTGAGAGGATAGCTCCTATAGCGAAATCTGACGCGTCTGTCGTCACGATAAATTCCTTATTAAAGTCGGGATAATTTAATACCGGCGCGGTTGTTAATTTTTCCTTTAATAATTCAAACGCGTTTTGCTGCTCTATTGACCAAATAAATTTTTCCCCTTTCCTAGTGAGCTTGGTCAGTGGCTTGGCTAGTTTCGAAAAATTTTCGATGAATTTTCGGTAGTACCCGGCTAGGCCTATGAACGACTGAATGTCTTTCAGTTTTTTAGGAGTCGGAAACTCCTTGACAGCTATTAATTTCGACGGGTCCGGCGAGATTCCTTTTTCCGAAATCACGTGACCCAGGTACACGACTTCTTTACGTAGAAATGCACATTTGCTCGGTTTCAACTTTAAGTTGTATTTTCGAAGTCTGATTAGCACGGCTATTATTCTTTTGATATGTTCCGTTAGCGTCGCCCCGTATATGACGATATCGTCGATATACACGAAACATCTCAGCCCTAGCAGACCGGCCAGCACCGCGTACATTAGTCGCTGAAATGCTGCCGGTGCGTTTTTCAGGCCAAAAGGCATGCGATTAAATTCAAAGTGCCCATCCGGAGTGGAGAAGGCTGTTTTGCCTTTGTGGTCTTTATGCATGGGGATTTGGTGATACCCCGAAGCCAAATCTAAAACGGTAAAGTATTTCGCGTTACCTAATTGGTCTAAAATGTCGGTTATGTTCGGCATGGGGAAGGAATCTCCCATGGTGAGATCATTCATTTTCCGAAAATCAATAACCACGCGAAATTGCACTTTTCCGGATGCGTCCGGTTTTTTAAGAACGACTATTATTGGTGCGTTCCAGTGGCTCGTGCTCGGGCTGATTATGCCGTCTTCGAGCATCTTTTCGATTTGCTTCTTCACTTCGGCCTTATGCTTCTCGGGTAACCGATAAGGTTTCACATTCACGGGCGCGCTACCTGGCCGGATATTTATCTCGTGCTCTATTGCGGTAGTCGCGCTTAAATGGTCGCCGTCTATATAGAACACATCAAAGTAATCATCGCAAATTTGTTCTACGGCTGCTCGCTCTTCGGCGTTCAAGTGATCGAGCTGTACTTGCTCGCGTACTTTCTTTTGTCGTTCGGCGATGGTCTCGCGCTCGTCGCTCGAGCGTAACGAGAGAACGTCCGCGGTGTCGGGCGGCGGCAGGTCTTCTAAAGTTACATGTGGAGTGAGTATCTCCACGGGCTTGTCCGTCACGTTCAACACGCTAATCGGACACTTAAATTCGACGGGCTGCACTAGGCAATGCCCGATAAAGACCCCTGGGGCGGGTTCGCCGCTCCGCACAATGCCGACACGATTATGATCGGTGACGGCTTCCACGATTGTTTCGCTATGTGGCGGAAGTTTTACCTTGCGAAAAGGTCGGAGCTTAAAGGAAGCTGAGCCGATTTTTAATCGCTTTTTCGAATTTGAAATATCCGCTTTGTGTTTTGAGAGGAAGTCGTTTCCTAAAATGCCTTCATATTCAATGGGAAAATTATCTTTCACCACGTACATCGTGTGGCGAATTTTTTTATCTCCGAGATTCACAGTGGCTTTTATCTTCCCTATCGTGTGAATCTGGTGTCCGGTCACGCCGATTAGCGCTAACCGTTCTTCCTTCACCATTGTTTTTCCTTTTAAATTTCCCACTTTTATTAACGTGAGTGTTGCGCCTGAATCTAATAACAGGTCCATTTCTCCTTTCTCTGCCTCCTGTACGGGCAGCGTCACTAAGTCTAGCGGGCCTTCCTCGTGCTTCTTGCTTATCTGTGCAACACGATACGTCTCGGCGGCGCGCGCCTTATTCCTTTTAGGCTTCTCATCCTCCTCGCTGCT